GGACAGAAGAGAGTCTTCTGCCCACACACTGAGAATCTGGCTTCCAGATGGGTCTTGGGCACACAGTTGTTTTTGTAATTCCCCACCCTCCTTTCAGAGGAATTTAAGGATGGGCTTTGTGCTGCTCTGCCTCCTTTTTCCTGCTTTAACCCCACCCTCTCTTTCTCTTCCACAAACAGTAACCAACAGTGATAGGCCTTGCCTGTTTGGGGAATCATAAGGGGAAATGCAATCTCACCGATTTATTCACCTTCGGCTCAATACCTGAGGGTTTCCGCAGCTTTGGGGCAGAGTCTGATCTGTTGAGTTGTGGCAATAGTAGCTCAATTTATCTGTGCAGACCGTCTAGAAATTCTTTGTGTGGAACTATGCTTATCTGCTCAGTGATCTACATTCTCTAGGCAACCCCAGAGGATTCGAGGCTGCCCATTTCTGTTATGACAGGACAAGGGACTATTGTCTTGTTGGCAAAAGAAAAAAAAAAAACCAAAAACCAAAAAACAAACAAACAAAAAAACCACTGTCTGACTTAAGGATTGTGTCTCTAGATATTTTGTGGTCTTCTGTTCAGGTTTTTCAAGAATTAGCAAAAGATTTTCATAACTTTTTCAAAAGGCTTTTGAGAGCAATTTTAGGTACATAATGACATTGAACAGTATGTCCAGGGATGTCCCATGGATGACAGTCCACATGCGTGGACTCCCCCACTAGCAGAACCGCCACCAGTGTGGAGTGTTTGTTGCAGCTGAGGAAGCAACATTCACACGTCATCCCTCAGAGTCTATGTCTACTTTAGGATTCACTCGTACTGTACTCTCTGTAGATTTAGACAAATGTATGATAACATATAGCTACCACTGTATCATCCTCAGAGGAATCTCACTGCCTAAAAATCTTCTATGCTCTGCCTGTTTATCCCTCCGTCCCCAGTGTCTTTTTCCAAAGGAAAACTGCAGACATTTTCAGAAATGGTAAAGTGTAGGATGGCCAGAGTCTGTCTTCTATTATCATTCTTATTCTTCAGAGCACATACCTGGGCTAGATGAGGATAGCTCCATAAATGAATCCAGGTCCATCAAAAAATACATTCCAGTCTCTGACCCACATTCTCAGCAGCCGGAGGCTTTGAAGAAGACACCGGCCACCACCTTCCCCATTATGTGCAGGTGTGGGGAGAATGACTTTGAAAAGGTCAAAGGAAGGTTGTAGCAAAGATAGTTTTTGTAGCACTGATGTCTAGTCTTTGTCTTAACTCTAACTTTTCAAGTTAAAAATTCCAGAGCTTCAATCATGAGTAGAAGAATATGAAGAGTGAATTATTATCCCCACATGTTTATAAATTAATAGAGGGAGGGATTACATCCTTGTCTTCTTCTCAGCTTCACTGTTCTGATAGATTCATTGTAATAAATACTCAGTGTTTTTCCGTGAGAAAAGATAATATATCCTTGCCCTGTTGATATTAGACTTTGACTATATTGCTTGCTGTGTCCAATTAAGTTTCAGCACAAGAGGTTTGTGCCACTCCTGAGCCAAATTTTGAGAGCCCGTTACACAATGTTTTTTTCTCTTCTTCAAGACTAAGAATATTCCTGAAAAGTATTGTTCTTTATGCCCGGACCTTGGGAAGAAGTTGAGGTGGAGCAAAGCCACGGGTGATATGAAGTGGATATGGTTTGAGCAAGGAATAGATACCTGTCATAAGTGAGATTTGGGAGTTTCTTGCCACCACAGCATAATTCAGTTCATAGTCCCTGATCCCACAGATCTCCCTGAGCTTGGTCTAAATGTAGGTGCAATTCTATCTGTTTTCAAGAGATCACACAGCACTCATAAACATGAAAGCGCCAAATCAAAAGATACTGAAGGTGACTTTGCTGCTCCTATAAATGGCAGTATCTGTGGCATATGAGAGTTCTTAAGAGTTTCCTGTTTTAGAGTTGAATAGTATGCAACTAGTATGATTTCTAGATACATCACCAGTTCCTGTGCTAATATATTCCTTCTTTCATTTTTCCAAGCTAGATTGCCAGGAAATTGTCCTACCTCGTAGTTTGTCAGCAAAAGGAGGGAGTAACACACAGGAATCAGAATTGCAAGCAGGCACATGATAGAATAAACCTAGGTTGGAATAAGTTTTAAGGTTTTCCTGGAATATTGTGCTCTGTGGATAGAGGATAATTGCAGAATCAGGTATACTCCAGTCTCAAAGAAAGGGCATTTCAGCAGGGACACAAATATATCCAGGGATAGCAAATACTTTTCTATTATATTTCCATCATGACCTAAATCGAAAGGAAAGTCAGTGAAATAGAAAAAAGACCCTGAAAACTGGTGGGGTTCATAATCTGCATAGGAGGATAAGTAAACAGAACAGTTAAAGAGATACCTTTGAGATATAACACACATACAGAGAAACCCTTTTTTCAGGATATGGCAGGATAGAGATTTTCACAAACTTAGTATACTTAGGTGATACTGAGTACCCCATCAACCAGCAAGCAGCAGCTGGCCCCCAGAAACCATCCACATGATTCTTTCCAACTTTCTTCCAAAGGTAACCGTTATCTTGACTTTGATAGCATAAATTAGTACTTGCCTGGTTTTAAACTGTATTTTAATGGCCTCTACACAGAATGTATTCTTTCATGTTTGTCTGCTTTGGCCCACTGTTTTGCAAGTTTGCTTCACTTATACTGTTCAATGTAGATGTGGAGTTTTCATTCTCATTGCTGTGTAGTGCATCATTGTGTAACAATACTGTACTTCTTTGCTCAATCCACTGTTGATGAGTACTTAGTAGTTTCATGTTTGAGGTTTTTGTAAATAATATTGATCTGAAAATCCTAGTACATGTTGGACGTGAACAAATATTATTATTTATATTGTATAATGTGTAGGATTGTAATTGCTGGACCGTAGGTGCAGGTGGTAGTTGTGTGTTGTCTTCTTGTGTTGAGAACTTAAGAGTATATCTGGGATTAGAAAAATGATAAGATTGTTAATGTTTTCCATGGGAAAGGATAGAAATGGTATAGAAATGGTATGCATTCCTAGAATTTGGCATCCCCACTACTGGACAATAGTAGAATCATGAAGATAATAATAAGTGTTGATGAGCTGTGGAAAAATTTCAACATTAACACAAGGAATGAAAGTGAGAAAAACAGTTTTCAAAGTGTTAAACCTGCATCTACCAAATGATCCAGCAATTCAAATCCCCAAAGAATTGAAAACATTTTCACACAAAAACATCAAAGTTCACAGAAACTCTGTTTTGTAATAGCTAAAAAGGTAGGAAAAAACCCACAAATGTCCATGAACTGATGAATGAATATATAAAATGTGGTATATCTATACAGTGGAATAGAATTTGGCCATAAAAAGTCTCAAACACTGACAGATGCTACAGGAATGAACCTTAAAGACATCACACTAGTGAAAGAAGTCAGTGACAAAAGACCATATATTATATGATTCAATTTATATGAAGTATCCAGACAAGGCAAATCTATTGAGGTAGAAAGAAGGGTCTTTGGCTAGGGCTGGGGTTGGATAGAGGAGGAAATGTGGACTGACAGCAAAGGTTTTTTTTCAGGGCAAGGCCTTATTCTAAATTTAATGGCCATGTTTGGCCAACTCTGAATATTCTAAAACCACTGAATTGTATTTACGTAAATGACTCTTAGAGTATATGATCTAGCTCTCAAAAATTCAGGTTTTTTTTTTTAATGGCATTCAGGCCAGAGTTGCAGGGGGTGAGAGGATTTACCAGAGACAGAGTGGGGAGCAGAACAGTTGTATCTACTGAAATACACTGCTGAGGGGAGCAGCGGGGCAGACAGGAGAGGTCTGCTTTGCCATGTGGGTCAGTTCCCTGGCCGGAGATCAAACTCAGGCCACAGTGGTGATAGAGCTGAGACTTAACCCTTGTGCCACCAGGGAGGCCCTCAAAATTTCAGTTTTATTTTTTAAATTTACTTAAAAAAAATTAAGTGAAGTGTAATTAGGGTGATGATTGAAGAAGCTGTCAATGCAGAGGAGAAACAAAGAAAAATGCAGTCTCAGATGAAGGTGGAAGCAAGCTCCTCTCGTGCTAGGACCAGGGCTGCTGGAGGCCAACTGTTAGAAGGACAGGGGGTAGTTCAGCAAGCAGGGCCAAAATACATAGCCCAGAGTGCACAATTTTTGCTGAGTGCAAATCGAATTTTTGCACTAAGCTCTATCTAGGATTTCCCAAAGTCTTAAGAGACTTAAAGATTTTTTTTTTTTAAATAACTTTTCATAAGTAAGCAGTTTCCTGCCCAAATCTGCCAAGGCTGCCTTTTTCCAGATGGCAGGCCGCAGGCTGGATGAGGCTGGTGCTACAGTCTTCAGCGAGGGCCTTCTCTGCCCTTCACCACCTACACATCTTGGGGCCTGCCTATTGTTCCCTGCTCCGCAGCACCATCTCCATTTACCTCAGCTGGTCCCCAACCCGCTCCTCAGGCTGCACAGACCCGGGTTACACTCGGATCTTAATTGGGAGGGGTTTCTGGAAACCCAGGAAAAGTCAGTGTTTCCACCTGCCCCAAGCAGAAACCTACTTCCCCCCTGCCCCAAATTCTTTCTCTTTTTCTTTAGGTCCTTATTTCTTTCATATTTTGGCCTGAGACACCTTGTTAATTTTCAAAGATTAACAGCCCATTTAGCAGAAGAGCGCGGCCCAGGTCGCCCGATGAAGAAATTAATACCAAAACTTCACACTAGGACGAAAATCAAAGCTGTCTGTTTTATGGCTTAGAGTATCTGTGAGTCTTGGGCAGGAGGAAATGGCTATCTCATTAAAAAAAAATGAGAGAGTTAGGCAGAGAGGAAACCAAAAGCTCGTTAAAAGTGGTGGAAAAGTCCTCTTAATTACGCGTTTCCATTCGCTAACAAGAGGCCTTTTGTTATGAGTTCAGGACGCGTTATCCCAAGTCAAACAAACAGAGTTAACGACATTATTTTTGTCTTTTTAGCCAGTGGTGACTCTGGAGTCCAGTTTCAAAATAAAGGTTTCACTGCGGGAAGTCAGTTAGGCCAGTGGATGCAGGCGAAGTGTCACTTTCCAAGATTGATTTGAGAGCTGCTACCAACCTTTCACCTCGCCCCCAGGTACCGGGAAGGTGGGCCAGGCTCTCTGCCAGCCAGTGCCAGGATCTGTGTGTCCTGGCAGAGGCATTTCCAGGCCGCGCTGGGTCAGCCAGGGAGAGCCTGTTGCTGAAACCACCGCCCTGTAAAGCACCAGCTTTCTCTCCTGGAAGATGGAGGTGAACAGCTTCAGGTTTGGTGTTGGTCAGAGGTTACCTGAGGAAAACACCTTCTGGAACTTTAAGAACACCTGAGCTTGTGGATGCTTTATTTGACTTAGTTTTTACCATAACCATGTGTAGTGTGATAGGCTCCACTCTATGCTGGAGAAAATTTTAGAAAGGTTCTATGATTTCATACAAGTAAGAGAGAGCAGGACTCGAACCCAAGCCTCTTTTATAGTCTCTCATGAAAGGTCCTGATTAAAATATGGCCTCTGAGCTCAAAGCCTGTAGGGGAATTGAAGCCAGTTGATAATTAAGCAGAACGTGATTAATGGCCAAGGGGATTGAACGTGCTAAGGGAATTTAAAGAAAAGAGATTTTACTTCTGACTGGAGAGTTATGCCAAGCGGCAGCAGCGTAATATCCAAGAGTATATGTGGAATACCTGGTTCAGATCCCAGTTTTCTTAGTTTCTAAGCTGTGAAAAACAGGACTTGTGATTTCCACTCTCTAAACTGCCTTCAGCTATATCCTGAGGGTTGAGGTACTGCCTCTCTGCCCTTTTAAGCTATAGTGAGGTTCTGAAGAAAAGAAATATTAAATATTAAGAAATATTAAATATTAAACAGTGATCAGTGCCTGGTGAATGGCATTTTAAAAATGAGGCCAAGTTTCATACGAGTGGTAGTAAATCAAGGTTTGAAGGACAACAGCTAAGTTTCAACAGACATGTATGTTTGAAGTATTTCCAATTTAAATATACTGCAATGAAATTGTCATTTTACCGACTGGATTAATTTAAAAATTGTTGGAAGCATACCATTTTCTTTTTATTTTCTTTTTATTGCATTATTTTTATAGAGGCAATGTTGGTTTATAGCACTGTATATGATTTAGGGGTTCAGGATCACACCTCTTCAGGTGTCTGTCAACCGCAACCACCATTTTCTGATATATTTTTAAAGATTTTATTTATTTTTGCATAGAAGAACTGGGGTGCAGGGGTATGTGTGAGAGGATTCACCAGAGACAGAGTGGGGAGCAGAAGAGCCAGATTTACTGAAATACACTGCTGAGGGGAGCAGCGGGTGAGGCAGGAGAGGTCTGCTTTGCCGTGCAGGTCAGCTCCCTAGCCGGGGATCAAACTCACGCCTTTGAAGTGGTAGCGCTGAGACTTAAACCCTAGGCTACCAGAGAGGCCCAACAACCACCATTTTCTAAGAATGTGCACCACAGGAAGTAGATTCTGGGCTGGGTCATGGTGGAGTACTTTATATCCTCACTCTACTCAGCCTGCCAATAACAACTAAAAACCTTATGCAGAAGAAAAATTATCTGACCGAAAGTAATCAGAAACTGAGAGGGTTCTGATTCTTGAAGGAAGTGGGCCACACTGGGTTAAGATTCACATTGATCAGGTTTTTTTTTGAAGGTAATCCAAAATCGAAGTGGTTTCAAAGGGGAAAGCCTGAAGCAGAAAGCTCAGTGGCCTGAGGAGACAGAGAGCAGAAGAGAATCTGTGATTATAGATGAGGGTCCCACCATGGGAGGAACAGCGAGAGAGGTTTGGAGCTTTCCTTTGAAACCACAGAATGACCATACTGTAGGCAGAAAGATAATGTCCCCTGACTAATAACCCTATGAATAAGGGGGAAACTAAATTAGACCAGCGTTTATAAAGTGTAAAATCAAACTATCCTAACATAGAGGTGATCTGACTTCCAAAAGAAAAAGTACTGAATTCAGTCAGGAAAATAGAACACAATTTATTGTCATGGTATAAAAAGGAATGGAACTTTCCACACCAATGGTTATGTGATTCTGAGTTATTGACAAGGAAGAAACTGGGCATATTCACTAGATGAAGATCAGATCCTTGGTTTTCTTGCTTGTACTTGTCCTTAGTTGGTGCTGAAAAAGTTTTTCTGCTGTGTACTAAGTACTCATTTGGGCAGTTTTTCTTTAGGATAACTTTATCAGGGATTAAATGATACTTCCAGAATCATGTCTGTCTATACCAGGAGGAATATATGGTTTTTGCTTTTTATTCTGACATTGGGATAATTATGCTAAATGATTTTTAAATCTTAAACCAACTTTACATTCCTGGAGTAAGTCTTACTTCATCATGATGTGTTGCCTTCTTTATATTTTGCTTGATTTTTTTTTTTTTTAAATATTAAATTTTATTTTTATATTCCCCCATACAATTGCAAACGCCCCATTCTGACCCCAATCCTTCCCCTCCCGCCCCCCACCCCCCAAAAGTGTCTCTGGTTCATAGTTTTTTGTTGATTTTGATTTTCACTTTCTTATATTCATTTTCCTGGTCCCTTATTTAAGTTTTCTAGATTCCTGCTATGAGTGAGACCATCCGGTATTTTTCTTTTTCTTTTTGGCTTATTTCGCTGAGCATGATCCCTTCCAGTGCCATCCATGTTGCTGCAAATTGCATGTGTTTATCTTTTTTGAAAGCTGAGTAATATTCCATGGTATGTATGTACCACATCTTCTTGATCCAGTCATCTATTTTTGGGCATTTGGGTTGTTTCCAAAGCTTAGCTATTGTAAACAGTGCTGCTATAAACATAGGAGTGCAGGTACTCTTTGGAATTGATGTTTCTGTGTCCTTTGGGTAAATACCTAGGAGTGGAATTGCTGGATCCTATGGAAGCTCTATGTTTAGTAGGTCCAGAAATCTCCACACAGCTCTCCATAGTGGTTGGACCAGTTTGCACTCCCACCAACAGTGCACAAGAGTTCCTTTTTCTCCACATCCTCGCCAACATTTGTTGTTGCTAGTTTTTTTAATATGTGCCATTCTCACTGGTGTGAGATGGTATCTCATGGTAGTTTTGATTTGCATTTCCCTGATGACAAGTGATGTTGAACATTTTTTCATATGTCTGTTGGCCATTTGCATTTCCTCTTCAGAGAAGTTTCTTTTTAGCTCTTCTGCCCATTTTTTGACTGGATTATTTTCTTTGTTGTTGCTGAGTCTCATCAGCTCTTTGCAGATTTTTGTGATCAGTCCTTTATCATTAGTGTTGGGTGCAAAAATGTTCTCCCAGTTGGTAGGGTTTCTCTTTGTTTTTGTTATTGTCTCTTTTGCTGTGCAGAAGCTCTTTAATTTGATGTAGTCCCAGCTGTTTATCTTTCTCTTCACTATCACTGCTTTGGGTGATGTGTCTGTAAAGATGTCTTTGATGTGCAAATCCCGTAGTGTTTCGCCTATATTTCCTTCTATGTATTTTATGGTTTCAGGTCTTATGTCTAGTTCTTTAATCCATTTTGAGTTGATTTTTGTGTATGGTGTGAGGTAGTGGTCAAGCTTCATTCTTTTGCATGTAGCGACCCAGTTTTCCCAGCACCATTTATTGAACAAACTTTCTTTGCTCCAATGCATAGTCTTCGCTCCTTTGTCAAAGATTAGTTGACCATAAATCTGTGGGTTTATTTCTGGATTTTCTATTCGATTCCATTGGTCTGTATGTCTGTTCTTGTTCCAGTACCATGCAGTTTTGATGATTATGGCTTTGTAGTAGAGTTTGAAGTCTGGGAGTTTGATGCCTCCATTTCCTTCTTTTTTTTTCAGTAGAGCTTTGGCTATTCGGGGTTTTTGGTGATTCCATATGAATTTCATCAATAATTGCTCTATTTCTTTGAAGAATGCCATTGAGATTTTGATTGGAATAGCATTGAATCTGTATATTGCTTTTGGTAGGATGGCCATTTTAATAATGTTTATTCTTCCAATCCATGAGCAGGGGATGTCTTTCCATTTCTTTGTGTCTTCTTCTATTTCTTTTAACAGTGTTTCATAGTTTTCTTTGTATAGGTCCTTTACCTCTTTTGTTAGATTTATTCCCAAATATTTGATTTTTTTTGTTTCGATAATAAAAGGGGTGGTTTTTTTGATTTCTTCTTCTTCAGATTTATTGTTTGTGTATAGGAAGGCTACTGACTTTTGCGTGTTGATTTTGTATCCTGCCACTTTACTGAATTGATTGATGAGTTGAATTAGTTTTTCTGTGGAGATTTTGGGGTTCTCTATGTATATTATCATATCATCTGCAAATAGTGATAGTTTGACTTCTTCTTTCCTATTTGGATTCCTTGGATGTCTTTCTCTTGTCTTATTGCTCTGGCTAGGACTTCCAGTATTATATTGAAAAGCAGTGGTGAGAGTGGACATCCTTGTCTTGTTCCAGATCTTAATGGAATTGCTTTCAGCTTTTCACCATTGAGAATGATACTGGCTGTTGGCTTGTCATAGATGGCCTTTATGATGTTGAGGTATGTTCCTTGTATCCCAAGAATTTCAAGGGCTTTTATCATGAATGGGTGTTGCACTTTGTCGAAAGCTTTCTCAGCATCTATTGATATTATCATATGGTTTTATATTTCTTTTTGTTGATGTGTTGGATAACGTTGATTGATTTTCGGATGTTAAACCATCCTTGTGCCCCTGGAATGAATCCAACTTGGTCGTGGTGAATTATCTTATGGATACATTGTTGGATTCTGATAGCTAAAATTTTATTGAGGATTTTTGCATCAGTGTTCATTAGGGAGATTGGCCTATAGTTTTCCTTTTTTGTGTTGTCCTTATTCGGTTTTGGTATTAGTGTAATATTGGCTTCATAGAACGTGTTTGGTATTGTCCCTTCCTTCTCAATTTTTTGGAAGAGTTTGTGAAGGATAGGCACTAATTCGTCTCTGAATGTTTGGTAGAATTCATTTGTAAATCCATCAGGTCCTGGGCTTTTGTTTTTGGGGAGGTTTTTAATTACCATTTCAATTTCGCTGCTTGTAATTGGTCTGTTTAGGTGTTCTATTTCTTCTTTATCTAGCTTTGGG